CGTCGTGTTTTCAGATCCACATGCAGGGAGATCACGTCAGCAGTCCAGTTGGTACTGCATTGGGGAAGCTCTGCTTACAAGTGTGGATGCACACAACGAAGATCACCCGGATCAGAAGGTTTCCAGGCCTGAGTACAAGGGAGTCCAATTATCCCGGAAGATCATACGCTCAGCAAGGTCTTGGATTGCGTCAACAGATACATGTAAATATGTCGGAGTCAAAAGCATGCAGGAGATTTCCACGCAGAATCCGTCCGCACTTCACCAGGCACTGCAGCCGATTTTTCAAGGGATGAGCAAGGAGTTTCGCATTCTCGAGAATTGTGAAGGAAACTGGGCTGCACGTGAAGCCGTAAGACAGTCACTTTTGAACGATAAAGCAGGAAAGACTAAACGGAAATCTGGTCCTTCGGGCAGCAGAAACAGCCGAATGAATGACGCCTGGCCAGGAAAAGCAAATCGTAAACGTGGGTCGAACGTTAGGAATCCTAGAGAGACAGTACCTCCGAAGTTACCGAAGCTTAGCCGGGCAGAGATACTGAAGAGAAACAAATATGGGCATGCCAAACGTAAGAAAGGAAACGTGAATAGCTTAGTGAAATTCAAAACATGCGAAAAGACAAGAAAGTCCAGGAAGACAATCAGTTCAGTTTTTGATTCTGACATGGAACGTGAAGGCGATAGAAGGGATCTTGAAAGCGCGGCAGAGTGCAATGCTGAGGAGAACGAACCCGGTGCGCTCGTGGCACACGAAACTGAGAGTGGGAAGAGATGTGCAGAATATGGACTGGAGCAGGAAAACAACGCGAAAGACTACGGTACCATATACGAGGACACATGCTCATCCGGCGAAGATGTTGGTGCTGAGGAAGAACTAATCGAAGAAGAAATGGATGATTTCCTTGCGGATCGCATTACAGAGAGCCTCAAGCAATCGTCTAGAAACGCTGCCTGTGACAGTCCAACACAACAATATAGATCAGCAAGCGGAGCTGAGCAGATCAAATCTCAAGCCAAATCGATGGAAGACCGTTCTTTGGAAGAGGATTCTTTCAATTCTGAGGATGAGAAATTTGCTCAGCGGGTTCTTGAAGCTAGGCGTCGCAAAGAAAGCAACTCAAAACGTAAGGGAAGCACCATAGGGAGACCGCACAGCAGCCGTGCTAAATCAGCAATGAATGTTGGCAAAGCCGGTAAGGGAAATACGTTTAAAAGCGGTTGGCAGTCAAGTGATAAGCGTAACGGAACACGTTAACATACAGCAAATCTGGGAACAAGACCGTCCAATTTTATGAGGCGGCTGAGATTGGCCTCAGGACGTATCATAAAGAACGGGCTGCAAATTCCTTCAGATTTGCTTAGGTGGCACTCATTTGCACACGCATACGATAGCGACATGGGACTGAAAAGTCGGCGAGAAGTGAATGGGGTGGAAAAGCCTTTCATTTGCGCTCGGCCGTGGGTGTTCGAAAGGGACGGACAGTGCAAAATGCTCTGAGAAGAGAGGCCATAGCGACGACAAGTGCTTTTGGAACTCAGAAACCCTGACAATAGGCTGCATCTACAGCTAATAAAATCAGGTATTGTCGGAAGAGGTGACACTTGACGGAAGACTGTTTCTTCAATGAACGCGGTGATAAATTTGGACCTAAAAGTGCTTGAGCCATGAAAGTGAAGGAACCGCCTCAGTTCGGCTTTAAAGCCGGAGCTAGATATTAAAAATGGTACGGTAGTTTCAGCAAGATTAAAATGGGGACTGGCTCGGTCAGAAATGCCGCAACTTTCATGCGATCGTGCTCTCATGTAGCAAAGAACTTGTCCAGATTCCGTTACACTCTCGCCCACTTTACAAGCTCCGAAGCAGGGTTAAGTGGATTATTTGTAGGAAGCCCGTGAATGTCAGCATTAGAGTCAACGGCGATGTTTCCATACCCTCGTGAGTAGAAGCACACTCCCACTTGTCGATTATCGCTTTAGAGGGAGAGAAGGGCAAAGGTTCGAGCTTGCAATTCATCGCATTCGCCAGAAGTACTTGCATATGCACTTGCCATTGAGTGGAATAGAATACGTCACGACCATGGAACTGATCTTGAGTATCTCCGGCGTCCATTTTCTCATTTTGTGTCGTCTGAAAACTCCATTTTCAGTTCGAAAGGGCACCAATATCTGCGGTACATCGCAACACTTTCCGCATGCACGCACTGAAAATAATGAGCTTAAATATTGTCCAAGAGAAAACAGAACGGACGCGGGCTTGGGGATTTGTGGGTTTACAACGGTGCCAAATCTTAGAAGCTTTTCGGTGATTCATGTGCTTCGCATGGATCGCATAACCCATGATGCGGTGAAAAGTTGTCATTTCAAAAGCCCAGAACATATGCCAGCCGAACCACGATGGCATTTACGGCCAATGGTCCTCAACTCAAGTCCACCTAAACCCTGCATAGCACCCTGCGACAAGCGCATCGGCGAAGGGGACGCGAAACCTAACCACGTCGAGCATCCAGTCGACGCGATCCGAAATCATCCTGGGGGCGAGATCTTCGGCGACGCAATCCCAGTCGACGACGGGCCATTGGCGGCGAAGGTAACGACCAGGGGTACCAAGAGTTTGCTGTGACAACTCACGAAGTAAAGGCACCTCCAAGCGGCCTGCGATCTGGAACAGGGTGGAAAAGCGTTCCACGCGAGCACTTGGGGGGGTGGGGGGTGGTGGCTGCGCGTGGGAGAAACTCGGCGCGCGGCGTGCGGGCGCGCACGGGCGCGGTGCGGGGCCGGTATGGCGGAGCATGTTGCGCGGGGGGGGGAAAGAGAGGATCATCGTGCGGACACAGCACTACGTCAGCCTTGTCATAAAGCACGGCGGCCGCCGCGCCAGCGGCGCGGATGGAAAGCTCTCTCTTCCTGAAAACGCGGGCTCGGTCACCTACGTCCCGAATTTTCTCTCCGAAGCCGACGAAAATCTGCTTCTTGAAGAGACCAAAGACGCACGTTCCTGGGAGTGCACGCCGATCACTTTTTCGGCAAGTCCGTGCTGCAACCTAGAGACACTGCATTCTTCGGCACCAAGCTCTACTCGTACAGCGACGAAAGAAGAATGCCGACGGGACGGGAGGAGGAATTGCCCGCATCAGCCGCGCTCAAACGCTTGTACAGTACTACAGTACGTCCGATGCAGAAAATGCTCTTTGCATCGCCGACATATATTGCTTGTCCAGATGACAGGTGTCACATGCTCATTAGATGCATTCTTCTGAAACTGAAAACTATTGGATAGCCATATGGGATTGGGTCTACGAGTTTCTGTTCATTCCGTCAATTCCTACGTAAACTTTACGCGTGTGTGTCGAAGCGAAACGCATCCCTGTTCATCCTAACCTCATGTTGCAGACTGCGTTAATGTCAGCAACGTTGTGCCCGGCCGGTCAAGAAGGTACGGACTGCTATCAACTTCAACGTCTTCGTGGGCACTACGCATATCCATCGGGAGCCCGGGGCTTCACCGCAATCCGTTTGAAGCAATCGCGCTTCATCAAGCGTAATTGCTCTTGCGGTGTGCATTCCAGCCTGATTCAATCGGCCTGCAGCGCGGCTTCACTACCTGGTCGCCCTCACAGCCTCACCGAATCTTGTGTTCGTCTCTTCTGCAGGCGGCAGTGCGCTTCATTTAGCTTCACTAATCTACAGCCTCGCCTTCCTGCCAATCGAACAGAAACTAACCCCGTCCTCCCTTTCGTCGTTGGCATGTCCGGTCGTTGTTTTCGGCCGCTTTTTGCGCTCTTTCGGTATGACCAAGTATAGCCCGTTCCGTCCGAACTTCCGAGCACTCACCCCGACTTGCTGCCATACACACCCGCCTGTAAGACTACTGACCCCGGTTTAGAATTTATGTACAGCCAAACGCCGTTCGGTAATGTTCACGACTTTTCTGCTCGTAAGTATGCGAACATATGAATTTTATGTACTGTTCTACTGCAACACTCTCCGCCGCCCTTTTCTGTATAATTGAGATATTGACCAATGCCTTCGTTCTGTCCACTGCTCTCCCCATACTTCTACTGACATGGCCGTTTTGGAACGTAAAATCTGCGACTATCGTCGGTACGTACTTTCCATCCCTCGCTTTAGTGTCGTGCTATGTCGACAACTGACAATTCACTCGTGCTTCTTCGTTCGATTTCAATGTGATGAGGGCCTTGCAGGATGGAGACCGTCCGAAGCCTCTCACAACGACGCTGCGTAAGTGGTACAATACGTTTCTTCGTTGCCTGCTCGTTTTTGGCGAGCCACTTCGGATGAAGGGGTGCTATTGTCTCCTGGATTACTGCGAAGCACATCCGGAGAGCCGTACTCCGTCCCCTAGACAGATACAGGAGCTGCAGCTCCATTCGGGATCACGCGCTGATTGTTTGTCCTGGAAGGAGTGTGTGTTTCATTCAGGTATCTTGTTCCCTCGGACCGGTACCCGTGTGCGAGAAAACGTGCAGGCAGCACAGAACGCGTAGCTCGAACTACTGGGGCGGAAGCCGATTCATTGCTTATCGGAAATCGCGATATAGCCATTCCATGTTGCTGATGAAGGAAATTGCGATGCTCTTTACCACAACAAGGGCCAGCGTTGTCGAGTCGGTTTCAAGACACTGCATTCGTGTTCATCGCATTTGAATGCATGCAAGCGCGCAGCGTCCTTGATATGCCCGGCCGCAGCTGCAACTTCCTCGTCCATTGCGTGCCATGTACCTTCGAGGAAGGAAGCTGTTCCAAAGGGCAGACTCCTGGGCAGCCCCTCGGAAGGCTTTTGGAGCTCTGTTTCTGTTTTTCATTGTTATTGCACCATGGATGCAAGCTGAAGGTTAGCGATTTGAATGGTGAAACCAGCAATTGTTGGCAATGCGTGTCATCGGAGGGGAGTTTTTGGTCTCTCATTTTTGAGCTCCAATTTTTACATTGGCGTTTCAGAGCTCGACCTTTTACTTGAGAAACGAATTGCAATGCCTCACATGACGCGCCATGCCTTCCGACGGGGGGCTCACTCCACAGCAAGTAGTGAGAAGGTCAGTATTTCTCTCGGCTCCAATGTGGGCAATAGGGTGAGTGCAATTTGCAAAGCATTAGACGAGGTGAGGCAGTTTGCGAATGTCTGCCGTACTTCGTTTCTGTATGAAAGCCCTCCGTAAGTTCACAAGACATCCTATGCTGGCCATGATCGTTTGCAAACACTCCAGACACTCTGACAACTGAGAGAGCTTATCATTGCGTCCTTCATCCGTGTCGATCCCTTCTCGTTTTAAAGAATGTATGTTGAAGAGCAACCTGCACTCCTCAACGCTGCATGCGAAATCGAGACAACGCTGGAGCTACTTGACGTCCTTCAAGCCGTGAAGCGCGTTGAAAAGAAATTTGGGAGAGATCAGAAGAGCGTCGGGTATGGGCCGCGCTCTATTGATCTCGACATTATTGCGTACGGAGAACGCCTCGTTCAAACGTCAGATGACAAATTAGTGATTCCTCATCCTCGGCGAGCGGAGAGAGATTTTGTTCTTCGCCCGCTCTCCGACAATTCTGAAGATTGTCAGATCCCACGAACTGACGGCACCAAACGAAGTGCAGTTGACCTGCTCTCATATTTGCTTGGGGGTGAAACAGACTGCAATCTGGTCAAAGTCACGCCCACGAACACAGGCAAACTCCTAAAATGGGGATCACACACGTTATTAATGGGGATCATTAATGCCACTCCGGACAGTTTCAGCGACGGGGGAGAAAACAACAGGGTGAGCTCTGCGCTGCGGCGGGCGGAAGAATTCGCGAAATTCGACTTCGACGTATTGGACGTAAGCTTCTCTCAAACTTTCTCGACAACTCTTGGAACACACTATGTTTACCTCCGAAGCTTAAGAAAAGCACTACTCCTGATGCCCATAGATCGGCGGCCAAAGCACGCGGCCAGGTGCAGAGACAGTCGGCGCAAATGAGGAACTGAAGCGTGTACTGGCGATCACCGATGCGATTCGACGTGAGTTTCCGTCGTTGATCATCTCCACTGATACGTTTGACGCGTCAGTGGCATCAGAAATGGTGGCGCACGGGGCCGAAATAAACAACGACGTGGCGGCTACGCAGAGCACGCAGAGTGGCGGACGACGGCACGGGAGGGCCATCACTTGTTCCAAGGATGCTGAGGATGAAGTTGTAACCAACTTGAAGCGTGTTGGTGTACAAAAGCCTTTGGGCCGTCGGCACAAAGGCAAAGTTGATGGCGTGGGCAATGGGCCAGAACTGTGCGGATGCAAAAGAAAGTGTGTTAGGAGTTGCTGCACCTCCAGCGGGCGCTTGTAGATCAACGCTGGACCAAGAGCGACGTCTCCGATGGGGCGGCGGCCATCCCCTATCTATCTGAGCGTGCCGCAGAAGGAGTGACGTCAGCGCAATCTACGATCCCTTCACAAAATAAATTGACTAATCAATGCTGCGTTCCGCTGAATCCCTCGCTATGCATAGACCTCCTATTTGCCACTTTACTGCCATTTGGCAAACTTGCCTGCCTTGACAGGACCATTCCTCACCATCTTCTCGTCCAGTGCACCACCAATGCACCGCCATTCACGAAGTGAAATGTGGGAAAATGACAGAGTAGATATAGATAAATGGCAGATTATTGGCACAGTCAAGTTCGTGAAATACACCTTCTGTCAGCCACCCTTCAGCCTACGCTTACAGTTCTGGATCTGTGGTTGCTTAATGGCGGAGTAGCTCAACCGCCACCTGTCGACCCTTCATCTCCCAATTATTTGCATAATTATCCGTCACTCCTCGCCCATCCACCAGCCAAAATTCTCCTAGGGGGTTGGTGGTACCAACATTGTCTTGTATGATAAGACCTTCGAAGGAGGCGTCGTGGCAACAGCCTTCCGACGGAACAGGACACTATAGCAGCGCTACAGCCTACGTGCAGCCCGATGGCAATCACACCAACACCCTAGGAGAATTTTGCTTGATGGATGGGCGAGGAGTGACGGATAATTATGCAAATAATTGGGAGATGAAGGGTCGACAGGTGGCGGTTGAGCTACCCTGCCATTAAGCGACCACAGATCCAGAACTGTAAGCGTAGGCTGAAGGGTGGCTGACAGAAGGTGTATTTCACGAACTTGACTGTGCCAATAACCTGCCATTTATCTATATCTTCTTTGTCATTTTCCCACATTTCACTTCGTGAGTGGCGGTGCATTGGTGATGTACTGGACGAGAAGATGGTGAGGAATGGTCCTGTCAAGGCAGGCATGTTTGCTAAATGGCAGTAAAGTGGCAAATAGGAGGTCTATGCATAGCGAGGGATTCAGCCGAACGCAGCATTGATTAGTGCCTTTATTTTGTGAGGGGATCCTAGATTGCCCCGACGTCACTCCTTCTGCGGCACGCTCATATAGATAAGGGATGGCCGCCGCCCCAACGGAGACGTCATGATGGAACATATGGACTGGTCTATGTTTGGGAGATGAGACAGCCAGAATGCCTGTAGGGAGGCAAGACATGTGATGACCGGGATGGTGAGCTGCACGTGAGGGACATTAGCGGTTTCACATATTGGAAAGAGGTCGAGAAGAATGGGAAAGACGAGAAAAGTCAGTGCGAGATATGTGAGCAAAGTGTAGGCTATGATGGTGGAGGCATCATTGGGCGGAAAGGAAAGAGATGAGAAAACCCACAGAGTGAGGCCAACGGCCGAGGAGGAAAAGTAGAGCAGAGGCTTGGTGGATGAGGAGAAGGCGAACGTGTGGGCAAAAAGTGCGAGAAGGTTGAGGCGATAGAAGTGAGCCGAGTGGGAAACATAGAATGTTCAGGCGAAAAACCGGTGCAACCTGTGCGAGAAGGCGTGGGAATAGGCATTAGAATAGACACATTGCAAAACAAGGAAGACCTGGATGGGGGCAAAGCGGGTCAGAAAGTGAAAAGTGGCAGTGGGGACAACTGCCAAGATGAATGGATTGGTAGCGGAGAACATACAAAAAAACGAGTAGGACTGCCAGAGGAGGGAGGGGAGCTATGGCAGCGCATCTTGGATCATCGACACGTCGTTTCCACCATCTCCAATAGCCAAAGTCATCGCTTTTCTCTTTTCCCGCACTAATCGAACCACTAGTGCCTTCTGTAGCGGCGTCACATGACAGCAGATCACAACCTTCGTATGATCGGACAACGCCATGAATACATCTGAATGATCCTCAATCGCGTGGTGCAGAGAAGCCCCGTCAATGATCACAACAACCTCTTCTTCTTCCACTTTTTTCTTCTGCCGCATGGACAGCCGACGAGGCAACTCAGCTCTTGCGCTGAAGCTCTTCCGTCGCTGTGGAGTTTGCGCATCCAACACATGACGGTCGAGAGTGTCATTAAGTTGTCTTTGCACCTCCGCGGATGAGCTTCCTGCAATATGCACCACCTCCATGTTCCTATCAAGCAAGTTCGCTGAATATCCAATGTTTTCAGCCGTTTCTCTCTTGTCACCAGTCAACACCCACAGTTTAATCCCTGCTTCGCGCAGAAATTTGATCGTCTCGGGCACTTTGTTTTGCAACTTATCCTCTACAGCAGTCGTGGCGACATACATCAATCCTCGTCGAGTTCAGCGCTAATCTTTGAGTTCTTCCCTTCCCTGTCCTCCAAAGAATTTTGCGCCTCTTGGAACCGTTCAAACCAAGTTTGAAAGTCCTCCCCCTCCAAGTCTTTCATTGCAAACACAAGTGTTCGTAGACCTTCCTTCGCAAACTCGTCAATATGATTCTGAATCAATTCTATGTTCGCGTCTTTGTTTAGCAACTTCAGCATGATCGTATCAGCACCCTTGGTGAACATTTTAATTTCCCCGTCAGGACACCAGAGAATCATGCTCATTCTCTTGCTGTCTGAATTGAACTCCAGTTCCGCCAAAGTCGTGTAAGTTTCTTTCGTTCCAAAGCGATCAATAACGAGTGTGTCAAGGGTTCGCGTCATAAGAGTGATCCCTTATTCTCTCGCCGATGTAACTAATGCAACCTCATCCGGACTCTGCCCTTGATATTCTGGAAGTGCCTCTTCTGAGCTGTTTCCATCTAGCACAGCCGTGTTGTCCCCCAGATCCGGATTAGAGCGTTTCTTACTCTTCTTTCTGCCCGAGTCTCCAGAGGAGTTGTCAGACTGCGTCTCATCCTTGGGTTCTGGCACGACGCTGTGACAGAGAGCCATTACTAGCAAAAGTTGCTTCACAGGCTCGACACCATCTTTGACAGCGCGATGCATGGCTCTTTTCTTCTTGAGACAACTGTCCGCCAGCCGAGCAGGCGATGTAACGAATTATGTTCTCTGTGAGCGTGCCCGTTTTGTCGCTGAGGACGTGCTCGACCTCACCGAGCATTTCATTCAGATTGGTCGCTCTTGCCAACACCTTCTGCCGGCCAGTTCTCATCCGTAAATCAGCAGACTGTAGTATAATCACCCCCAACGACGAGGGGAGTGAGTACTAGCAGTTCGGAAAGACCCTGATCGGCGGGAAGACAGAAGCACGGCCCACCCACGGTACCGAGCACGGGCTCGAGGTAGCGGTGGTAGAGCGGGATCGGGGAGGACGCGCGCACGCGCGAGCGGTTCTACGCCTCGACGCCCCGGAGCGGTACTGGGTGACGATCCAGTACCGACGGGCGGAGGCGGAGCCGGCTCGTGGGCGTGCTACGCGCGCCCTCAACCCGGGCGCGGTGCGACTCCTAGGTAAAACGGACGGAAGTACCTAAAAGTAAGCGGGCGGACCAAGGTGGAGGATCCTTGACAAGTCCGTGCTTGTCGTCCTCCACCGCCGGCGGTCCGCTCATATTTAATATACAGAGTCACCTATCATAACATTACAGTAGTGCAAGTCAGCCTGCACTGTAGTGCTGTCAGCCGTCGGGGCTGGCAGCACACGTGTCGTACACGTGTGTGCGCGCGCCCCCGTACATGTGGGGTACACGTGTGCGCGCGTACTGAGGTACTGTAGAGCTCGGGCTCTACAGTTATAATCTAATCTAAATCTAATTCTGAGGAGGGGGATATTCTACATGGCCCCCCTCTCAAGTGTGAACGTCCGCGTCCACATGTGCTTGTAGAGCCGACCGTAATGTGCCCCCTTCCCGGGACGTCGACGCCTCTAGTTCGTTGTCACCCACGTCCTCCTCCTCGCGAGCCTTTCTCTTCGTGGTGCGCGTGCGTCTGGCGTTGCGCTAGCCTCTTCTCCGCGGCTTTCCCGATTTACCGTCCCGCGATCATCTCGTTCTGCGAGGTGTCACGGCATATCCGTCGTTACCCCGGGGTCCCCTTTGCCAGCGTTCCCAATCCGTCGCCCTAAATATTCGTCCTTTTACTCCCCCACGTCCGTGTCCGCTCGCCCGATACGGCGCGCGGGGCGATGCGGCAGGAGGGTATGAGCAGGTCGCGCGACGAGAGCTCCGTCGGTACGGTAACATTTGCCATGGTTAATAGGGGGCAGTGTGACGAATTGAAATTGTGTTCGGGCATAGAATTATCTTCCCCGGGGCTGTCACCTTCGCGGTTTGCCAGTGGGCCACTTTCATTCCCGTCCCCATCACTCTTGATATCGCTGTGAAGCTCTCCCTTGGCAAGATGACTGCGGTTGCTACGATTTGCCCCCCCGTCTTTTTTTGATTGGCCGGTTAGTGACGATATGGGTTTGTCTAATTACCTCCTGATCCGGGCGGGTGCCATGGCCTTTGTCCTCGAAAATGCGGCGTCTGTCAAGGGTCCCCGACTCCTACGTCGTCCGTCGAGCATGATCGGTTCTCCTGTAAGACTCCCTCTGCCGACGAGTAGTGGGGGGACAAACACCCCTTGCGAGGCAACCACACCCTTTCCTTCCCCAGTTCTCTCCGTACCCACTCCGCACGGCCTCGGGAGGTCTTCCCAAGCAATGAGGTACAACGATTTTGACGGTGAGGCACTGGTGGCATGCGGTCTGCTCGCGGGTAGGATATCGTCCTTGCCCGGAGAGCCGGGGCGTGAGGCTCGTCGAGAGTCTTGCGCGCGTACTGCGCTCGTTGGGGCATTCGGGGAATCGTATACGCTATGAAGCAGGTCGCGTCCGTCACAGAGTCCTCGTTCGAGAGCGAACACGGAGAGCGGAATTCCGCGTTGTAGCGAAAGGGGATCAGGCTACCGCGGGGGAGCGGGGCGTACGCCGGCAATGGCGCGTTTCGAAAGGGGGAGGGTGTCGCGCTCCTCCTGAAGGGAGCGTCCAGAAGAGTAGACCCAAACTGCGCGAGACGCGCGCGTCGCTCAATAGTATGGACGTAGTGCGCGCAACTTCTAAAGATGACGCCGTGGTATGCTTTCTGTCCTGGGAGCTTTCCGTTGCCATGCCCGAGAGCGTCGCGCGCATCTCGTCTTCGCGAGCGACATTGAGATCTGGTGCCTCCACGAACCCCCTGCGCAGGGCTGCTCCTAATATGGGTCTGTCGCCGTCCCCGATCCGCACTTCTCTCGAGCGCTACGTTGCTCCCCGCATCCACCGCCTCGTCCTCCTTTGTCACCATCCATCGGGCGAGGTCTATAAATTATCGTTGGCGTTGACACCCCTCCGTACGGTTGTGGGGTCAAAAATTTCAAAGACGTCCGTCCGCGTGGGCAGGGCGAGGGCGCGCAGCGCGCGCCGGTGATATATCCTAGAAGCTGTCCTCCCGTCGCAGCGTGTCTTGAATTACGCCGACTAGAGCCTCTCGACGAGACTATGGATCCGGTGGAGGTGACAATGTACGCGGTGTCGCCGTACGCGAGCGAGGAGCGGTGTACTGTAGCTTTGCACGGACGGCGCGTAGCCGGGCGCAAGTGCGCGCGCGCGCACGACAGCCCCTTGACATTGATCAATACTGTCCTAAAAGTTTCTGGATTTTCCCGCGAAAATGTTTTTTGCCAAAAAAAATCACAGCACGGTCCGTGAGGGGGGTGTGGGCTCATGCGCGAACTAAATTCTTTCGAAAATGAGGACGTACTCCGTCGGACTGAGTCGTGCTCCAGCAATGCAAGTGTGCACCGGCGTATCCCCTTTTCCGTATTTTTCTGAGGAGACCGCTACAGTTCGTAGCGCCCCGCGTCCGTGCATACCGTCCCCTTTTCTGCGCAGCGATCTGTTCGCCTATTAATTTCCTTTTCGTGCGGTCTGCGTGCCGTCCGAGGCACGCCATTGTCGGCGGATCATCCCCTTCCCTTTCGTTCCGAGCATCCGTCCTCGGAGTGCGTCGGTGGTTCGGGGACACCGGCGTCGCCGTATAAGAACTCATCGTGGTGTGCGCGTACAGCTCCGTCTTCCCGGCGGAATCCACCGCGTCTACCCTCGTGCGTGAGGGTTGCTTCCATGCAGAGCGCGCGGGCATACCGCGTTCGGTGGGACACGCGGCGCGTGCACCGGCGTTGACGCGAAAATAGAAAAGGGGGAGGGTGTTGCGCTCCTCCCGCGGGGAGTGTCCTCAAAAATAGACGAGGGCAGGGCGAGTCGCGCGCTTTGCTCAACACGGTAGTCAGGTGTTGTACCTAGGGGTCCGGTGACGGATAGTGTGACTCCCTTTTGCAATAGGGTTGCCGTTCAATAATTACCCCTTGACCGAGCTCCGGCGTAGTTCTCGATGCGGTCGAGCAGCGGAGCTGGCATGAGACGTCGTGTTTTTCCGTCGTCATCCCGGTCGCTGTTTAGAGAAGAGAGGGGCATCTTCACACCCTCATCTCTGTCGGTGCCCCGCAGACGACGTTTGACGCCGTGCTTCTGCTCCGGGGCGCGTCCCTACTCCCTTGGGTTGGGATTCCGTTTGACGCCTCTTCTTGTCTTGACTAATCCTTCCCCATACGGTGGGGTGGTTGTTGGAAGGCCGTTACCGCCATAGGGGATGGCGCTCGTGCCACGCCTTGACGTTCGCCGCGACGGTCGCAGTAACGATGGGGCATGCACGAGCAACGCGCGCGCGGCCAGGGCCACGTCTTGCTCGTGGCTGGCAGCCGACGCGGCGGGATAAGCCGCTGCGTGTCCGCGCCAGTTTGCCTCTTTTTCTTTCTTTCTTCTACACTCGGCGTCGCACGGCGCGCCGGGGTGTGCGTGGTACTTAATACGCGTAGCACTCGGGGGCGGTCAACCCGCCTACCGTCCTTTTCTCTCCACAATTGTCGTCTGAGCTCAGGTCCCGCCCCGCACGTGTTGGTATCGTACAGGGTCCAACTGGGGTCGACGGACCCGACGGTGGCGGGAAGACGTACGGTGTCGGCCTCCAGATCGTCGTCTTCCGCGGTGGCGGTGACTGCGTCTCGACGGACTTGGCCGACGGCTATTCCGAGGATCGACGGGCTTCCTTACGATGCGAGCGGAAAGTGACTCGAGGGAAGGCGGAGAGTCGGCAACGCAGACCGGCTTCCCTTTGTGACACCGCTTCCTTGCGAGACTGCGCCCCCATTTTCTTTACCATTCGACACTCCACACCTCGCCATGGGTACAATCCCCTTCCTCTTCGCCATGTCCTTCCCATGGCGGCCTCCGGTGCCTCTTCATTGGCGTTTCGGCGCGAGCACTTCCCGACACGTGCAGTGACCGGCGGCGCGCACGTACCGACGCACACGCTGCAGAAGACGGTCCAAGACGAGCTCGCAGGTTGCAGGTCATGCTGCGCCGCGCTCGGCGCGGTCGTTCTTGACGAGCAACGGCGTTTGTGTTGTCGTGGGGGCCCTCTGTCTCAGGGCTGTGAAGGTCGCCCCGACGTCGGCCTTGTCGACGCCGGGGATTTTTGCGCGGCTTCCGAGCACGAAGGGCTCGTCACGTCCCCTTGTCGAAGCCGTTATCAGTTCACTCACCACGAACGTCGGTGATGGTGATTTGAATCGCGCTCGTCGCTGCATGTCGGACGTCTGACACGCGCGCAGCGCCGTGCACGTGTGGTCCGGGCCACCTGTTTGCCCGCGGCAATTTCCACCACCCAATATTTTTGGTTTCCGGGTAAGGTGGCGGTGTCGACGCGGTCGCCCTTCGGCTGCCGACCACGGACGGTGTCGTCGGCAGGCTGCGTGTCCGGAGCGCCGCTTCCGTTGTCGCCGCCAGAGAGTGTGTCTCCCTCGGGGTGCGGTACGGGCCGTCGGACCGGTCAGGCCGAGGGTACGTTCGGCCATCCCGCGTGCCATTGCGTGTCTCGCATGCCAACGTGCATGCGTTTGCTCACGTGAGATGTCCATTTTCGCGACTACTTTTTCGTTAATTTTCTCCTGCCCTTGGCGGCAGGTTG